TCTACTATTACTACTATTGCTACTAATTACCCTTCTGTTGCTGCTACTAACTAATACTATTACTTAATGTTACTACTACTATTGCCTACAAACAATTCACACAACTACTACTACTACTGCAACTACTGTTTCCTACACTGCCACTATCACTACTAACTATTGACGACTATTAAGGAGCATATACATAATCCTACTGCACTGCTAAGGGGTCATATTCTATTATATACTATAACTACAACCATTCCTATCATTTTTCTTTTCTAACGGACAGTTGTACATAAAACGCCCAAGGAGAAGAAGAAGCAATTGATGTATTGGCGTCAGGCCTGTCATATATATTGGAGTATCGAATAGCTATAAGAGATAGTACATACACAAACACGCAATCAAACGCACACATACACGGAGAATTTCTTTTTTATTTGTTTGATGTCGAGCGAAATAATGTAAGGGTTGATTTGTCAGTGTGTATTTTTTTCTTCTATTTTCCTTTGTTGTATTTGTGAATTCACTAACTTTTTCTTCTATCTATTTTCTTTGTGTATTTGTAGAATTCCACTAACTTTTTCTTCTATTTGTGTGATTTGTGAATCTCACTTAACTTTTTTTTCTAATTTTTCTTTGTGTGTATATTGCTGAATTCCACTAACTTTTTCTTCTTTATCTATTTTCTTTCTTAAATCTTACCGCTTTGAACTGTCTATCGATCTATGTTTATGCTTTATGAGAAGCGATTAAAAAATGTGAAAACAGAAAGTAGGACAGACGAAACATGATGAGAGAGAGAGGGGTGAGAGGGAGAAGAGAGAGGGAGAGGGAGGGAGGGGAGAGAGAGCGAGGAGGAAGAAGGAGACGGGAGGCGAAGAGAGGATGAGAAAGAAAAGAGAGAGAGGGAGTGAGGAGGGAGGGGAGAGAGAGAGAGGCAGGGAGGGATAGTAAGAGAGAGAGAGGGAGGAGAGGCCGAGAAGGGAGAGAGAGACGGGAGGGATAGAGAATAGGGGCAGAAGAGAAGAGCACGGAGAGGAGAGCCCCAGGATGGGGAGACACGCAGAGAGAGAGAGATGAGAGAGAGATGAGAGAGAGAGAACGAGAGAGAGACAGAAGAGAGAGGGAGAGGAGAGAGAGAGTGAGAGAGGGAGGGAGGAGACGAGGGAGGCAGCGAATTAGATTCGACAGATGGAGAGAGACGAGAGAGATGAGAAGAGACTGAGAGAGGACGAGAGAGACGGAGATGAGAGAGAGAGGAGAGAGAGAGAGGGCCTAGGGGAGAAGGAGACGTCGAGGAGCGACAGAGAGATGAAGACGACGAGAGAGGAAGAGCAGACCAGGAGACGAGAGGAGCCGCGGAGGGACGGCGAGGCAGCGGAGCAGACAGAGAGAGAAGAGCATGGAGAGCGGAGAGAGCAGACGATAGAGGAGAAAGCAGAGAAAAGAGAGAGGGACAGACAGAGACAGAAACAGGCCAATAGACAAGACAGACAGACTAGGAGAAAGAGACAAAACAGGACGGACAGCCAGACACACACACACAAACAAAACGATCAAAGAACAGACAGACCAAAAACAGAACGGTGAACTAAAAACAAACAAGCAAACAAAAGCATGAAAAGATTCTAAAACAAACCAAAAAACAAGTCTTTTAGTTCCTCTTTAGATAGAGTAGTCCTAGTAGGTTTTTGTTTTTTTTTTTTTAAGTTCCTCTCATAGTTTCTTAAAATCGTGTCTTTGCAAGTTCTTCTTAAAAAAGTAAGAAGAAAAATAAATATAATAATATAACTATAATTAACAATTAGTAAACATGATAATAATATAAATAAATAAAACAAATCTAAAGAAATAAATTAACAATAAATCTCGTAATCCTCTTAAAACAGAGTTCGTATCGTAGTCCTCTTAAAATAAACAAGTTTGGTCTCGTAGTTCTCTCTAACAAAAATAATAGTAAATTGATGATATAGATAAAAAATAAAAATAACCAGTCAGTTTCATAGTCCTTTTAAAAAAGAAAGTTTGCCCTCGCAGACCTCTTAAGCAGAAAAAAAGTTAATCTACGTAGTCAAACTCTTTGAAAATCCAAATAGCCACCGTATTACTCTTGAAACAGACAAATAAATAAAAGAGTTAGTCCGTAGTTCTCTCCTCTGAAGAAAAATGTAATTTCATAGTCCTTTCTAAAAAATAAATAAATAAATAAAAATAGTCTCGTACTCCTTTTAACAAAGAACTTCGCCTCGTAGTCCTCTTAGAAAAAAAAAGTTAGTCTCGTACTCCTCTTGATAAATTATAAATAAATACAAGGGGTGCAGTTTCTCTCTCTCTCTTGCTCTCCTCTCTCTCTCTCTCTCTCTCCTCTTCTCTCTCTCTCCTCTCTCGTTCTCTCTCTCTCTCTTCTTCTCTCACATACACACACACACAAAAGGAGTTTCATAGTCCTTTCTAAAAAAAAAAAAAAAAAAAAAAAAAAAAAAGTCTCCGTAGTCCTTTTTAAAAAAGAAGTTCGCCTCGTAGACCTCTTAGGAAAAAAGTCTCAGTCTTCGTAGTCCTTTTTAAAATCAAAATTAGCACGCGTACGTTAGCTCCTCTTAAAAATCAAATAAGCACCGGTATTACCCCTTGAAAACAGATAAATGAATAAAAGAGTTAGGTCTCGTAGCTCTCTCTCCTCATCCTTCTCTCCTAAAAAAAAAAAAAAAAAAAAAAAAAAAAAAAAAAAAAAAAAAAAAAGATAGATTTCATAGTCCTTTCGTAAAAAAAAAAAAAAAAAAAAAAAAAAGTCTCGTAGTCCTTTTTAAAAAAGAAGTTCGCCTCGTAGAACCTCTTAGGAAAAAGTTGGTCTCGATAGTTCCTCTTTAAAATCAAATTAGCCTCGGTATAGTTCCTCTTTGAAAATCAAATAGCACCGTATACCCTTGAAACAGATTAACATGAATAAAAGAGTTTGAGTCTCGTAAGTCTCTCTCTGAAGAAAAAAGTAATTCATAGTCCTTTCAAAAAAATAATAATAAAATAGTCTCGTACTCCTTTAACAAAGGAAATTTCGCCTCGTAGTCCTCTTAGAAAAAAAGTTAGGTCTCGGACTCCTATTGCATATAGATAAATAAATCAAGGCGTTAGCTCTCTCTCTCTCTCTCTCTCTCTCTCT